TGTCCGCCCACTGAGGCCAGTATTGAAGGACCCTCTCTGGAGCAGTCATAGGCAGGTCCTAGCTCCAGGGGTCTCTGGGCCCAGCTTTCAGACGTCTCTGTGGACAGTGTTTCTGAACGTGCAGTGGCTGGTAAATGCTCTAGTTTGGTGTTCAGGAGGGAGATTTCAACACTGTCAGGGAATTCCCTTCCCAAAGAGCAGCCCTCTGCCAGGGCCCCTCTCTCCACCCTTCAATACCCCAGCAGCGTTAGCCTCGGTGCTTCAGCTCATGGCAATCAAAGGCTGGATTACATGAGGCTTCACGAGAGAACACGGGTCACCAGCCGCTTCACTGTGAGAAGTAAAATCAATGGTGGGAAAAAACAGTTCAGTCTGCAGAGAGGTGGAAGCAGGAAATGTCACTAACACAATCCACTTCCTTCTGCAATGGGGGAAGGTCCGATCTTGAATGATAAACTTCTCACTATCTCTTTGGACAACGGAGAGCTGGCAAAGGCTGCGATGTTGAAAGGTCGCCCCTCTGACAACAAAATGGCTCCGTCGACCCCTGTGTCTGGATTGTCTCTTCCATGCCTGGTGCTGCTGCTTCTCCTGGAGATCCCTGGTGAGTGTAGAACATAGACACTGCCCACGCGGGCACAAGCCGTCTAGTCTGCTTTCTTGCTGCTTGCAACGGAGGGAAATTCCAGCTGCTCTAAAGGGAGGAATAAACCTTTGTGTATTTTATATCCCAGCGGAAACCTTCCTGCCCCGAGCTTGTAATCAGCTTGTGCTCTGGAGTGTGAGAACTGGTCACAGTGTTTAAACTTGATCCCAGGTAGTGTCACTGCAGGGGCTGTTATTATTTTTAGAAACGTCTGATTTGTTTGTAGAAATCTTACTGAGCAATTAGATTCAACAATATCCTGCAGCAGTGAATTCCACAGGTTAGTTAGATGTGGGTTAAAAATATTTCTTTTTGTCCCTTTAAATCGTGTTGCTTTCAGACTTCATTGGGTGCCATGTCTGTGTGGGGCCATCAAGGGGCAAAATAACCCTCCGTTCATTGGCAGTAAGTGACACACCCAGAAGCTCCTTCTCTGTGGCTGGAGCAGCGCAGCAGCGGGGCTCAGGGCCTTGTCCCTGCTCGTGCCCATGAGGTTCTGTCCCTGCCCCGGCTCCCCTGCTCACACTCAGCACAACAGCTCCCTGGTCCCTGCCTGCTCCCGGAAGCCGGAGTGGAGCTCAGAAACGCGGCTCCGGGGCAGCCTGCAGGGGTCGCTGTGGAACGACACAAAGTTACTCCCCCGGCAGCTAAAGCCCCACCCCGGGCAGGGCCCGGCTCTAGGCAGTGTTAGGATATAGATATTCAGGCCTGTCTGTAAAGGCCTATACTTTAAGAATTTAGGTGTATTCTTATCACTTAGCTAGTTCTAGAGGTGTGAAAGAGAGAATCAAAATCACTGTCTGTCTGTGTAAGGGCCTTCTCGTACTGTGACAGTCTGAGGCTCTGTTCTTAGGCTAAGTAAGGCCTTTGAGAAGTGAACGGTCACATCCTCACATTCCAAACCAGTCACACGAAATAAGGTGCTATGGGGCTGTTAGGATACAATCCTGTCCTGATATTCCCATCACCTCCAGAGAAAGGGAAGAGCCTAGAAGAGGTCAAAGGACACTTAGTTTGATAGCATCCTGTCTGGTAAGAACTCACTTATCAATAGACACAGCTGGAAAACCCTTCTGTCTGTAGAGATGTAGTTGTGAAATCCTCACTTCTGTATTGTTTTGTCTGTTTATTTGCATGGTCTCTGCCTGGTTCTGTGCTTGTTTCTGTCTGCTGCATAATTAATTTTGTTGGATGTAAACCAACTAAGATGGTGGGACGTAATTGGTTAAATAACCATGTTACAATGTGTCTGGATTGGTTAGTTAAATTTCAGTAAAATGATTGGCTAAGGGATAGCTAAGCAGAACTCAAGTTTTACTATATAGTCTCCAGTCAATCAGGAAGCAAGGGGGGGATGGGAACAGGGAATGGGGGTGGGGAAATTGGACTCATGTTTTGCTAAGGGGGGAATGGGAACAGGGACAGCTCTGTGGTGTCAGAGCTGGGAAGGGGGACTCTGAGAAGGAAACTGGAATCCTGCTGGCTGGAAGTTCACCCCAATAAACATCGAATTATTTGCGCCTTTACACTTCGGATATTTGTTGCTCTCTGTTCATGGGAGAAGGACCAGGGAAGTGAGCAGGTGAAGGAATAAGCCCCCTGACAGGCAGGGCTGGGAGCAGGATCCACACAGCGGTGCCAGGCGTGGGACTGAACCCCCTGCTGCTGCGGGACTGGGGCTTGTCAACTAGCCTCCCCCAGCCCGGCCTGTTCTCTCCTTCCAGGGGCCGGGACCCAGGAGTTCCAGCTGTTGCAGCCCCAGGGCGCCGTGTCGGTGTCACCGGGAGAGACTCTCACTCTGATCTGCTCTCAGACTGGACTCGTTCCAGTGGGACCCACAAAGTGGTTCAAGGGCTCGGGCAGTGGCCGCCGGCTCGTTTATGCAGGCGTGGGATCATTCCCCCGGGTGACGCTGGTTGTGAATCGCTCTGACACAGACTACACCATCCGCATCAGTGACACCCGCCCCGAGGACGCCGGGATCTATCGCTGTGTGAAGTTTAGGAAGGGGCCGGGAGCCGATGAGGAGATC